AAATGCACGGGACTAGTAGTCCCGTGTGTTTAGTGGTCGCTAATCGGTCACTAAATTAAACTCAGAAAATCCACGGGATTACTAGTCCAATGGGTTTTCTCTTCACAAATACAAAACTGGCCTTTTAAAATCAAGGACACATGCTAAGAGTCTGGGTGTCACGAAACTTGTCGGTGATGGAGGGGGCCATGAGGCGGATCCCCCGCTCCAGATGCTTGATCTTGGGGATGACGAGGGATTGAGAGGAGGAGGAGGAGGAGATGGTGAGGGTCCGAAGGAGGTTGGTAAAGAGGGAGGGGTGGAAGTCGTCGAGCCAGAGGAAAGAGATCTCAAGCGGGGAGCGCCGGGAGTGTGGGGAGAGGAGCTGGGAGGTGTCGTGGCGGGCGCGGAGGATCGAGCGGCGTGGTAGTAGGGTCAGGAAGTGGAGAGGAGAGTGGAGGTGTGGAGGAGGTCAGATGACGATATTAGGGCCGCGCGGAGATGACGATGGGAGTCGCCAGAGAGGGATCGCCGAGGTTGGGGAGGAGGATTGACCTGAGGGTGCAGTTCCATTGTTGGAGTGGAATGTTTATTGGCCGGTTTTGTATGTGAAGAGAAAACTCACGGAACTAGTAGGCCCATGGTTTTCTGAGTTTAGTTTAGTGTGCCGATTAGCCTGCTACTAGTCCGTGTGTTTAAAATCCAAATTCAGCAAAACTGATGTCCTTTTAGCCAGCCTTGATGAGCTGGCTAAAAAGAGGCCGGTTTTGCTAAATATGTTCTAAAACAAGCCTATTTCATATATATTATATATATATATATATATATATATATATAGATATATATATATTTATCTTTAACTTTCTATTTATTTTTGGTAAATTTGAGAAAAGCCCTCTGAACTTTTATCATTTAACCCCCCTAACTACCATCATTAAGCTGAACGTGTAACATAACGAACACGTGACTTGAAACGACTAAGATCCCTCTTGGTCATAAGAAATATTAGACTAGATTTTCGCAAGATGGGAGAAAAAAGGATAGAGAGGGGAAATCATCGTAAATGACTTAAGGTATTTTTTTACTGGTTGAGGGGTTGATTTTAATTGAAATGAGTTCCTTCGAAAGGATATATAGATCATTTCATATTTTGATTTAATAACAGTAGAGGTTTTTTTAAATAGAAATGTATAAAGATCAATGGGGTTTTGTGATACACCTCATCGCTGAGGGAATTTTGTGAGACACCTACATGTGGGGTGTTCAAATTTCAAATTTAAAGGGGGTTATCTACAACACCTCAAATTTTGAAGGGTTTTACTCATTAAAAGAGTTGAGGGTGTTTCGTGAGACAACTTCCATAACTGAGGGGAGTTTTCTAAAATTGATGACTAGTTGCTTTGTCCACGGCATTCTGATGTTTCCTTAAACCCCACTTATAGGCTTACCAAATGAAACAATTATATTGTTAAAAAGTGAAATAACTATGCAGCATTAGTGGCTCTTATAGGTGAATGTGTATCTTAAGAGTTATCATTGATGCCCAACAACCTATAGTATTATTACCTCGCACTCTACAAATTATAGGGTACTAATTAATTAGCTTTGAGCCTTGAACTTAATAGTTTATTATCAACTTTATATTCGTCTAATTAAATCCCTTACAACTTACTACTTGTCCATTAAGGGTTGGTGGCTCTTTTCATTTGTATTTATTTTCATGCCAAACATATGTGGAGACATAGTGGGTTGCATGTAACATCTATCGCTGTTGTATGACTTTATGAACTTGTGCGCACATTCTCTATATTTGGCATTATCTGCTTTTATTCTAAATTAAAGTGGAAAAGTTATGATTTATCTTTGCCTTCAAGCTTCACATTATTGTTGTTCTACTTATATGCATAAACTTGAAGCAAAGGCAAAATTTTCTACCCCAATCTATTGAATTGATGATCAAATTATCATCTAAGCAGACATTCTAAAAAGTTGTTAATTTTAATTGCACGTGGGCCCTTTGTTCAACTGTCGTGCCACTTATTACCTGAAGTTCAAGGCATCTCCTACATCAAACTTAAAGAGCAATAATAAATAGTTGTGAAATGTGGATGCTGTCTGCCTGTATCAAACTTAAGAAACAATAAGCGGCGCATGCATAACCAAAGCTAAAAGGGCTACGTGTAATTACCCCTTGAGTTAAGTGTGCTGCATATGTTTACGTTTGAAGACAAATTTGGATCATCTCTGTTGGAACTAGGATGTAAGTCTAGAGAGAGGGTGAATAGGGGTTATTTTTCGACAAGACTCAGAAAATACAATGAAAATATGATAAGAGAAAAATGAAAAGCAAACTAACACATAAACATGCGAGATTTTTTATAGTGGTTCGAATCAAAATCCTCACTCTTTCTTCTCGCGAAGGGTCTTACTCACTATAACCAGAGTTCATTTGAATCAAAACTCAATTTAACAGGCTTCAAATACCGCACTCTAAAATCTACTCGAAACCAGTTGTCTAACCTAACTTTTCACAATGACCAGAAGAAATCTGTGAAAGTACCCTAATGCCACTAAGAACGAACCCTAGGGGGGGGGGGGGGGGGGACTAATCCGATTTATATCAATTTAAAAACTATTAACAAATATATCCTAGCAAATGAGAT